ACAAATTGTCCTTTTGTAGAATAATTTGTTAAAAAGTCCCGTCAGAAAATGTCTACAGATCTATGATCATTTGAGAGAAAATCTCAGATTGCGCATTGAGTGCTCTGATTTGGGCTGCTTTTCCAGAAAGACCAGGATGAAGGCGGGTAGGATGCTCATAGGCCTGGAGGAATGTGGGAGTGGAGGTCACCTTGGCCAGCCCCCACACACTATGCCAGGCTTCTTGTCTGGGAGTAAGTTACTCAGCTCCTTGGAAGTTGCTGTGTGCTCTGTGAAAATGGGGCTAATATTTACTTGGACAGATTGAGAGAACATGAAATCCAGCAAATTGGTCAGATTTATTAATGATTACTTATATTTTACTTGCTATTTTTTAGATTTTGTGGCTGACTTTTTTCCATTATTTTGTTTTTGTTTCGTTAATTATCGATTCTTAGGAATCGCACAGAAATATACAGTAATGTCCAGTGTTCCCATCCCCCAACCTCCTTCAGTTTGAGGTAACATGTAACGCAACTATAGTACAAAATCAGCCCTAGGAGATTGACATTGATGCAATCCATAGAGCTTATTCAGATTCCACCAGTTAAAAATACACTCATTGTGTGTGTGTGTGTGTGTGTGTAACGCTGTGCAATCTCATTACATGTGTAGCTTCATGGAACCACTGTCACATGAAGGTACTCACCTATACCACCCCTACCAGGCTCCTTCATGCTACCCCTTTATTGCCACCCCTATCCCCGCCCTCCCATCCCTAAACCAGGGCAACCACTAATCGCGTCTCCATCTCTATCACTTTTGTCACTTAAAGAACATTTTTATAGACGGACTTACATAACATGTGACCTTTTGGGATTGATTGACTTTTTAAACTCAGTATATTTCCCAGGTTCATCCAAGTTGTTGCACAGTCAATAGTTCGTTCTTTTTTATTGCTGAGTAGTGTTCCATGGCCGTATGGACAATTTGTTTATCCACTCACCTCTTGAAAGGCATCTGAGTTGGCGCTATTATGAATAGAGCTGCTGTAGGCATTCATGTACAAGTTTCTACATGAAAATAAGTCTTCATTTCTCTGGAATAAATGCCCAAGAACACAACTGTTGGGCTGTATCCTAAGTCCATTCATTGTATTTATTTTTACAGTTCCTTTCTATTTCTTGACAAGTGATTCTGGTTATCTGTTTATGGTATTGCTAATATGAGTAACCTTTAAAGACAAGCACACTGAATCATTGTACAGCCTATGGCAAAAGTTGTTCCTCTGTGTGTGGATGTGTGCACTGTAGAGAAAGGTGGGCCTCCATGATTACTCCAGGTCACATGCAGGTAATAAATGGAGGTGATGCTTTCCTCAGCTGCCTGGGAAATGTTCATTCTTATTAGTAATCAAGAACAGGGAATCTTCTAGCAAGGAGTAACTACATTAATAGCAGTACTTCCAGCAATAAGTGGAGGTTTGCAACTAAAGGAATTTCTGAGAAAATGAACAAAATTGTCACAAGAAGTAGGTAATAATTAAGAAATTAAGAAAATGATATATTTTTTCCAGACGTTGTTTATATCCTCCTTCTCTCTTGTTTCTTCTTGATAAATTCTTTTAACTTTATAAGGAACAGACAGTTCCTGTCTTATATAAACTATTTTGAAATATGAGGAAGATGAAAAGCCACTGTCTGTGGAGGAAGCCGAACCCTGAAATAGCACAGAAAAAACAATGCAGGTTTCACTAATGAACAGGAATACTTTTTAGGTGAAATGATATATCAAAGCAGAAGTCTGTTGCTGTCCTGGCCATCTTATTGGGCTTCTTTCACTCGGCATAGGTTTTTTTTTAATTTAATTTAATTTAATTTTTTAGTGTAATCTCTACCTCCAATGTGGGGCTCGAACTCATGAGCCCAAGATCAAGAGTTACATGCTCCTCCTACTGAGCCAGCCAGGCACCCCTCACTCAGCATAGTTATTTTGAGGTTCATCCACATGGTTGCATGTATCCATAGCTGGTTCCTTTTTCTTGCTGTGTACTATTCCATTCTAAGGACAAATCATGGTTTGCTTATCCATTCACCTGTTGATAGACATTTGTATTATCTCAGTGGCTATTTTGAATAAAACTTTCATGAGTGTTTTTTTTTTTTTTTTTGAGAGCTTGAGCACTAGCGGGAGGAGGGGCAGAGGGAGAGGGAGAGAAAGAACCCCAAGCAGACTCCATGCTGAGCACAGAGCCCGATGTGGGGCTCAATCCTATGATCCCCGAGGTCAGGACCTGAGCCAAAACCAAGAGTTAGATGCCCTACTGACCCAGCCACCCAGGTGCCCCCCGTGAGTGTTTTTGATCAAGTCTTTGTGTGTACATATGCTTTCCTTGCTCTGAGGACATAAAATTACAAGCTGCGTGAATACCTTATAATGGCCAGATTTATGCAGGCTCTAGAGGGTGAGTGACCAAATTGTGCAAGGGACATAGGAATGGCCAATGTGGCCAGAGCAGAGGACCGAAGCATGAGCTTTGCATCTGGCATTTGATGGTTGTGCATTTGATTGCAGGCTATTTTCTTTTTTATGGGCTCTCCATTTTCTCTCAGAATGAAGTCCTGAATTCTTCTTGGCCTCTTTGGACCTCTCACATTGTGCCCAGCCTTCCCTTTCAGGCCCATTACTATGCCCAGTCCCTGCTCTTTCCCTTAATGAGAGTAAGAAGACTGTGATGACAGCTTAGATATATTGTGGACCCGGAACTCATATGTGCACTCTATGTGCATTATTGTGTGTAATCCTTCCAGGAGCCCCACAAAGGAGGTACCACTTTTATGCCCTCGGAGCAGGGAAGAAACCACAGCTTAGAGAGGTTAAGTAATTTATCCAGGATTGCACAGCTAGTAAGTGGTAGGTTAGAAGTTAGAGTAGATCATCTGACTTCAGAGCCAGCACCTTTAACCACCATGTTATATACCCTTCATCACTGGAAGGACAGATTGTGCATGGAATTTAAGATGCCATTTTAAATTTTTTTTTTTTTTTAATTTATTTGAGACAGAGAGAATGAGATACAGAGAGCATGAGAGGGAGGAGGGTCAGAGGGAGAAGCAGACTCCCTGCTGAGCAGGGAGCCCGATGCGGGACTCGATCCCAGAACTCCAGGATCATGACCTGAGCCGAAGGCAGTCGCTTAACCAACTGAGCCACCCAGGCGCCCTAAGATGCCATTTTAAACTATTCTTCTACATCATCTAGTTAACTCCTATATTCCTAACTTAGTGTTTCCTCCCAGTGGCCCCTTCCCTGGCAGCCCGGACTGGGTCAGATTACCCTGAACCACGTGCCTCTCTCAGAGCTCTGTGTCTGCCCCACTGAGCTGGGAGCACAGCATGGATGCAGAGGCCTTCCTTTGCTTCCTTTAGTGTCTGCTGCCCAAAGAGTGCTAGCATTGAGTAAACCAGGTGAATGAGTTATACTGTCAGATACGAATGTTTGTCATCAGCTTTGCTGAGGTATTATTTACACATACAAATGTGTAACTACAATCAAGATAAAATTATTTTGATTACTCTAAAAGTTCCCTGTGTGCCCCTTGCAATCTCCCTCCATCCCCAGCTACCACTGTTCTGTTTGTCTGTCTCTATAGTTTTGTCTCTTCTAGAATTTTAGATAAACGGAATCATACAGTATGTAGTCTTTTGTGTCTGTCTTATTTAGCAGAATGCTTTTGAGATGCATCCATATTATTGCATGTGTCAGCAGTTCCAGGTATATATTTAAAACCACTTTAAATATTTATTTTGGAAACAGTCCAGAAATAAATACTTAGCCCCACTCAGGTTTAGACTTGGTTCATAAGTTAGAGCAGCGGTTTCCAAGGATCCTCCCCAGGATCCTTTCAGAGTGTCCACAAGGTCGAAATGATTTTCATAATAACCCAAAGATATTATTTGCCTTTTTTACTCATTGTCTCAGAGTTTTCCAGATGCTGCCTGACGTGTGGTATTGCAACAGATTGGATGCAGAAAGATAGGAGAATCCATCTGTCTTTTATTAAGCTGTCTGGCTTAAAGAAATTTGTAAAAATGTTAATGCCGCTCTCCTCACTAAAAGTTTTTGTGTTGGAAAATATAATCACTTTTTAAAAAACAAATGTTAATTATATTAACATTTAATGGCTTTCTTGTTATTAGATGCATGAATAAATATTTTTAAATTGTATTTTAACTTCTCACATGATAAATAGTCATAAATATAAACCGTGTAAACAGAAGCTCTTTGGGGGCTTCAGTTTTCTAGTTATAGAGAAACCCTTAGTCCAAGGAGTTTAGAATCTCTGGACTAGGGACATTTTTGAAAAGGCATCAGGAATAGGATAAGGAAGTCTTGGAGCTGCGTGGGCTTAGAAGAGGATCTGGAGACCTGGCCTGGAGAAGGGGCCTCCATCCGGTGGTGCCAGATGGAATGTGGGCTGGAATGCAAGGACAGGCAGTGTCAGCTACAGTCTCACTGTCAGCCCCCTGCTCGCTCCCCAGACCTGGTTGGGCAGGTTCTGTTGATGTTTCAGCTTCCTATAAGGAGCCAGCGGGCAGCCCATGCCTGTGGCTGGCTTGCAGGACAGCGATCACGCGGCCTAGAGCCAGCCACTTTCCCCAGATGAAGCTGCTGCTACGATCTGACTTCAGGTCGGGCATTTGCTGGGGAGCTGACTGATGTCTGTGCTGTGTTCTGATTCCAAGGCAAGCACAGGAAATCATCAAGATGGTCCGTTGGCTTTCAGGAGAAACTATGTACCCTCCCCCTTCCCGCGCAATAGAGTTCTAAGCTCAGATTGAAAGACTGTCTAAAATAATTATTTTAACAAAAGCAGGTGGGAGGCTAGTCTTATTACTGGCACAGTTATTGTGGGGAAAGTGACATGTAGATTTTGGTTAGTGATTTTGATAATGCTGTTAATAAACGGGAGCAAAATTGCACCTCCAGTCTTTGACCTGTTAATTGCTCTTCTCTTGCAGGCGAAAGGGCCTGTGGTTCCGACTGAGGAAGATACTTCTCTGTGTTCTGGGGTTGTATGTTGCCATTCCATTTCTCATCAAACTATGTCCTGGGATACAGGCCAAACTGATTTTCTTGAATTTTGGTAAGTACCACGTGCCCATTTTGCCTTGAATTTTAGTAAGAATTCATTTGCATGATGATTTATATATTTTTATATCTACCACTCAGATCAAGAAATAGAACATTTCTATTACCCAGAAAGTTCCCAGTGCCCCTTCCCAGTTACAGGCTGCTGCAATGACTGCGTTGTTCTCCAGGGCTAACAGTTGTGTGCACAGGTAACCCCTGCTTGGCTGGGGGTCCTGCTTTAGTGGCAGTGGGTAAGGATGTTAATGGTGTTGTGTTGGAGGTGCTCTGCCCTTGTGCCATCTAGGAGGCTCACTGTACTTGGAAAAGATAACCACTAAAAGGTGACCACCTTAAACAAAAATAATTAGGACCTTTTTCTTTAAAAATAAAAAAAAATCAGCCTGACATGCTTTGGTTTCTATGGAATTATATGCTCCCTCTATAGGTGTTGTAGTCTCCCTGAGTTAACTTAGACCTTGTGTGTTCCAAAGGTGTTTTTTTTTTTCATGCTGTATATTTACTTTTGTGCAAGTAGGAGGAGGAAGGTCCAGAAGTCTCAAGCTTAGGAAATAGAAGGCAGAGGGCTCCCAGGTACATAATTGCTGGGAATAATCCTCTTAAGGAGCATCATTTTACACCTACAAGATGAGGCTAGGAGGGAAGAGGCTGGGTCTGCGAGTGTTAGGGTTTGAAGGTAGAACGTGGTGCTTGGCGCACAGCAGGTACTCCATAAGCAATGGCCTTCAGCTTGAGAGTGCAGGTATGCGTAGCATCTGAACCAGTCGAGGTGGGCTCTGTGCATGCTCTTAGCTGTTGGTTTGCAAAGAGTAGGTTTGGACCTTGTGTATTTGGGAGGAGAGGTTTGAAAGTTGGGGCTGTTGCCGTGAGAAGAGGCAGCAGGGTTGCTGGTAGAGAAGGAAGGAGGAGGAAGAGCATGAAGATGAGGGGGAGGACAGACAGGAGGTGTTGAGATGGCTCACGTGTGACTGTGGCCTGGGACAAGCAGGGGGTGGCACTGGGGCCAGGCATGTCAGGGCTACAGAACCCTCTTCTGTAGTAACGCAGTGCTCCAGGCTCTGTAGGTGCCTGGGCATACGGGTTCGGGTTTATGAAGTCTACAGTGGACTTAATCACAGAAACTTAGAAGTCACTGGCTAAAAAGAGCATTTCTGCTCTCAAGAGAAACAGTAAGGAGGAGGAAGAGAAATAGTAAGGTCAGTGTTCACTACTTTGTAAATCTAAAGTAAGTTTTTTTAATTTGGTGTCTTAAAATAAGTATAAAATACTTACAGTATACCAAGAGGCATTTGATTTTTCTGACGGAAATGTAGCTGAACTTTGAGGAATTTATCCTCTCTATGTTTTTGCCAGTGTGAGAGGCACAAACTTAAAAGGAGCTAACAACATACTAAAATAAAGGGAGTTTTGATTTTCTGACTTTAACCCTTAAATGTCCATAGTCGGTCCAGCACAGAAGAGAGTTTGTGTTTACATACAAACACGAGGCTACTGGGTTGCAGATACCCTGATGGCAGACTTTAGGATGGACTCTAAATGGCTTTTCCTACTCTATAGGCCTCTGGGTGCCTTGAGCAGGTGCCTTTGCCACACGGTGGGATCCCAGGAAATATTTGAATTGACTTGCTTTTCTTCAGATCAATTATTTGGGCTACTTTAAACATAGCCCACAAATGTTGCTCGGTTGGTTTCCTAATGAAATGGTAGGATGTTCCACAGGAGCAGAACTTGGGTTCTCCTAGTCCACCTCTACAAGGAGATGCCAGTCGCTTACCCTTTCCTTCCCCATGTCCACTGTGTGGCAGTGGGGTCGCCTCCTGCAGGGGTTATAAAGGAGATTGGTTAGCTGTCTGTGCTGCCTCCCCTGTGGGGGAATGGGGGTCCCCAGGGCTGGCCTGCAGTGGTTTGGCAGTTTCAGTCCATGGTGCTGGAGGGCCAGTGTGTTGGGGTAGCACCTCCATTTTTGTCTCCTCAAAATGTGAATCATGATCCTGTGAATTCCATTTGGACTCTAAAGGAAGTCTAAACAGTCTTTTGGGTCTCAGAACATAATCACAGAATATATTCTTAAGTTCACACTAAATCTGTCTGAAATCACATTCATAAATCAGATAAACTATAGAAAAAACATAGCCCCATGATTTAAGTCATTATTCTACTTTAAATATATTTTCATAAGCAAAAACTACATGAGCATTCCAAAAACAAAAGATTAACTGAAAAGCCCTGAAAGGCAGTGAAGAAGAAAATGAAAATCATTCTGAGGAAATTGTTAATGTTGTTGCTTATCTGTCTGTTTCCTGTCGGTCTCTTTTGTCTGAGTCTCTACACATAAACATGAGTATGTGTGCTTTTCACTACTTAGGTTCAAAAGTCTGATTCCAGTGTCAGTGATGTTGGGTGATACCCAGTATTTTGTGGTCTTGAAGTCTAGATGACTAGATTGAAGTATAGTTGGCATACAGTAGGATGCTAATTTCAGGGGTACAACACAGAGGTTTGACAATTGTATGCATTACTCAGCGATCGTCACAGTAAGCGTAGTCACCATCTGTCAGCATACTGACTTACTACAGTAGTGTTGACTGTATTCCCTATGTTGTATGTCTCATCCCCATGTGTGTATTTAACTGGAAACTCGTACCTTTTCACCTCCTTCCCCTATTTTGCCCTTCTCCCCACCTCCTCCCCCTCTGGCAACCACCAATTTGTTCTCTGTATTTGTGGGTCTGTTTCAGTTTGCTTGTTCCTTTGTTTTGTTTTTTAGATGCCACATGTAAGTGAAATCCTACAGTATTTGTCTTTCTCTGACTTATTTCACTTAGCATAATGCCCTCTGGGTCTACCCATGTTGTCCCAAATGGCAAGATCTCATCCTTTTTTATGCTGAGTAATGAAGCCTAGATATCTTCTCTGCAGTTCTTTGCCCTCAGATCTAGAACCGTCTCTTGGTGGGAAGGAATGTTTTGGTTCAGAGGCCTGCACAGAACTGCTCCTCTCTGCACATTACCTTGGGCCTTTTTTGGGAAATAGGTTAGATATATGAATTATGTATTTGTTTTTAAAGCAGGCCAGCCAGCCCGCTTCAACATTCTCCAGGATAATAATCCTTATGCTTCCTCTTTCTCTTTCCTCTTAGCAGTCCCTTTTAGCCCTTGATAGCTTTCTTTCCTTTTAAAATTTTTTTGAGTAGTTGACACATAATATTACATTAGTTTCAGGTGTACAACATAGTGATTAGGCTATGCTCACCATGAGTGTAGCCACCATCTGTTACCATAAATGTGATTACAGTATCATTGGCTATATTCCTCATGCCATGCCTTTCATCCCTGTGACTTACTCATTCCAGACCTAGACGTCTGTACCTCCCACTTCTTTTCCCCTATTTTGCTCATCCCCCCATGCCTCTCCCCTCTGGCAATTATCAGTTTGTTCTCCGTGTTTACAAACAGATCAGGTCTGAGTCTGCTTTTTGTTTATTCATTTGTTTTTGTTTTTGTTTTAGATTCCACATATGAGTGAAATCATACAGTATTTGTCTTTCTCTGCCTGACTTATTTCACTTAGCATTATACCCTCTAGGTCCATCCATGTTGTCACAAATGGCAAGATATTGTCCTTTTTTATGGCTGTGTAATAGTCTAGTGTGTGTCGGGGGGGTTATTACATTGTCCTTATCCATTCATCTATTCATGGACACTTGGGTTTCTCCCATATCTTGGCTATTGTAAGTAATGCTGCAGTAAACATGGGGATGCATGTATCCTTTCAAATTAGTGTTTCCATTTTCTTTGGGTAGTAGTGGAATTATTGTATCATATGGTATTTCTATTTTTAATTTTTTGAGGAACCTCCCTACTATATTCCTTTCTTATCCCCTTTCTTTTATGGAAACCCCTACAGCCCCCATCACAGTGTTAGAATTTGATAGAACCCAGAGAGCCCTCTGCCCTCCCTTGTTGGCACTACACCTCTTCCAGTGCATCAGTGACTGGGATGAGAGGTAGCCCCGATATTTAAAATCCTCAGGCAGTCAAAAGTGTCCATTATGGCTAAGTAGCTGTAGTCTCTCACCCTATCATGTATTTTGCAGGTGGACTAAAGACGGGATGATAGAATAGGTTGTTTTTCATTCAGTCGTGTCCTCACTGGTTATTCACTGAACACCGCTTGTGCAGGATCCTCTCTAAATCATGCCCATTGGTATGTGGTTGCCAATAAATGACAGTGCAGCCAGAGGGTGAATAATGAAAAATGGGAAGGAAGGGAAGCCAGAGGTGGGGTTGAAGCAGCTGGATGTGTCTTGCAAGCCTGTGGACACAGCATGTGTGTATTTGGTTCCCGGGTTGTGCACTTGAGCTGTATGTGAGGCCGAACTTGTATAGCTAGCAGTGAGGGGCTGGGTCACTGTCCCAGACTCCTCACTCCTGCCCCTGCCATGGGCCCTGTGGGCCCTGTGCTGTGTCCCTCCTCCAACCCTGTGAATGAAGCAGGGCCCCAAGGGTCATGGGACCAAGGGATAACACAGGAGGTCAGAGGTCCCTGGTACCCAGCTGTTCCTGGCCAGCAGGAGTGAGGTGTGTTCTGGCCTGGGCATAGCCTGCCACCCTCCTCTTGCACCCCTTGACCCTGTCCCTTTGTGGCATTTTGCTTACTCAGACCAGTAGTTACCAGTGGTTCCTTTGGCCACACCTCTCTGGAGCTGTCTGACCCCCTGGACTGACCATGGACCTCCACTCTCCGGAGGAGCCCCATGGGAAGAGAGGCACATGGGTGGCATCTGCTGGACTCAGCGCTTTCACTGCCTTCTTTTTCACGGTTATTTCTAAAACAGAAATAAAAGTGGACTGGAAGACAAGTTTTGTGGAATGAGGTCCTCCTGGAGGAGAATCTGGCTTCTCAGTTTCTAAATTTCTCAGGCCTGGAAGCTTTCGGGATTAGCTGCTAATCCTCATTAAACAGTTTTCACAGGTAGGGAGTTCCCTTGGAGCTGTGGGGTTGTGTGGAAGTAGCTTAACTACCTTCTTCCCCAATCCAGAACCCACTGAGGCCTGAGAGCTGAGCCAGTGGAAGCCAAGTGCCCTCAGCCCTTGATGACACCCACTTTTTGTTTGGCATGGGGGCTGGGGGTGGGTAATTCCAGTCTCAGGAGCAAAATTAAGGGAATCTGGGTGTGGGGTTGAACAGTGGATACGGGGTTTGGGGTTTTCAGAGTTTTTTTTTTTGAACGATTTTATCCATTTATTTGACAGAGAGAGGGAACACAAGCAGGGGGAGTGGGAGAGGGAGAAGCAGGCTTCCCGCGGAGCAGGGAGCCTGATGCGGGGCTCAATCCCAGGACCCCAGGATCATGACCTGAGCTGAAGGCAGACACAACGACTGAGCCACCCAGGTGCCCCGGTTTTCAGAGCTTTATTGAAGTCATTTCACTTCACAGTTGTGAGATGATGAACGGGCACATGAAGCTGCAGCTGTCAGCTCCCACAGCATGGAACATTGTCCCAGAATGGAGATTGCAGGAGTAGGTACCTGCGTCTGAAACAGCACGGGAAACAGGCCCTTGCCAGCCTTCTGTCTGGTCAGGAGCCTTCTCTGAGTCCCGTTGCCAGAGTAAAATATGACCTCCGTAGCATGGCTACTTTGGTCCCCGGGGGCAGATGTAAGAAATACCACAAACTGGGTGGCTTAAAACAACAGAAATTTATTCTCTCTCACTTCTAGAGCCTGGAAGCCTGAAATCAAGGTGTCAGCAGGGCCACGCTCTCTGAGACTCTGGGCACAGTCCTTCCTGGCCTCCTCCAGGCCTCTGGTGGAGGCCAAGAGTCTGTGGTGTCCCTCGACCTGTAGCTGCACCACTCCAGCCTCTGCCTCTGTCGTCACGCAGCTGCCTCCTCCCAGTGTCTTTCCACTGTCTTCCGCTGTCCTTGTCTGTGTCTGTGTCCCAGTTTTCCCTTTTGATAGTGACACCAGGTCTACTGGATTGAAGTCCACCTTATGACCTTGGTTTAGCTTGATTGTCTCTGTAAAGACCCTATTTCCAAATAAGGTCACATTCTGATGGGCTGGGGGTTGGGACTTCAGTGTATTCTGAAAAGGACCTGAGGGCCAGTTCGTATCAGAGCCATTGACCTTTCTTCCTTCCTGTCTGATGAGTCAAGAGTGCAGGCTGTGGAGTGGCTGCTAGGTGCTGCCAGGTCTGTGCCGTGGGAGCTGGTGACCTAACAAGAGCTCTGAGGTGGAAGAGCTGGTGTGCACATCGCAGGAGGCGCCGCAGGAAGGCGCACGCGGCACGGGGCCGGCATGACAGGAGCACCAGGACATGTGATGCCACCTCCTTTGATGGCCCTTTTTCTTTTGAGAGAAAGTCATAATTAAAGTTTAAAAAATTTAGCCTTCTCCTTGGTGAAGAGGTGTATTAAGAAGCTGAAGGTACAAGTGGCAGCCCTCATGGGAGGATTTATCTCCTTGCATGGTCTGAAATGCTCAGGGAATTTCTGGGGAAGTGTGCCTCCTCATGTCCTCATGAGTGGGTATTTCATTTCTTCAGCAAATGCGTGGTGGAGCTGCAGTGGGCATTGGAGGAGTGAGAGCTAAATGTGCAGGTATGTGGTGGGAGAGTACTCAGAGGTCAGCAAGTGCAAAGGTTGTGGCTCAGGAACAGGATGGTAGTGCAAGATGAGCACGTTTGGCTTGGTGCCATGTGGGTATGTGCAGTTATGTAATGAGACTACTCTCTTCACCAAAGAAAACTGTATAGAGGTGTGTGACTCTTTTATATAAGGTGGGATTGGCTAGAGGCCAGGACCATCCTGCTGTTTGTCCTTATGCCCTTTGGGAGTTGCCATTTGATAAAGTGAGTAAATCTCACCTCATGGTTTTGTTTTTTTTGTTTTTTGTTTTTTGTTTTTAAGTTTTTCAGTCTTTGGGGCACCTGGGTGGTTCAGTCAGTTAAGCGTCTGACTCTTGATTTCAGCTCAGGTCATGATCTCAGGGACATGAGATTGAGACCTGTGCTGGGCTCCACGCTGGGCTTGGAGCCTGCTTAAGATTCTCTCTCTCCCTCTCCTACTCCCCTACACCCTGCTCGCATGCTCTCTCAAAAAAAAAAAAATTAAGTTTTTCAATTTTTGACTATAGCCTTAAAAATTGTGTTCACCACAAGCAGTAAAAGCACAACAGTATATAAAGGAAAAATTAAATATCCCCACCTGCCCAGGCATGCATGCGTGCATGTGTGTCGCACACACATACTTTGGTAACAGCCTGACCTGTGTCTTCCTTTATTTCTTTCCGAGTCCCATGTGGATTGTGATGTTGAATACATTTGCTTGCTTTTACAGTAACATTGTGGGACTGTGCAGCATATCTGGTCATCTCACTCCTTCTCTGCTCTCCTACCTATAGTTCGTGGACGTTCCCCCATGTCATTGGGTCTTAGTTGGTCTCCAGCTAATGGCCCCTGGATTTTCCATAGTGTGGGCGCATTACAGAATTCTGCTCTGTTGGCAGGTGACCTGTTAAATGTAGGGCACCTGTTGTACAGTTCCATTTGGCGTCACTTAACTCCAGATGGGCTCTGTGGATTCCCTGCACCCGAACCTCATCTTCTGCTGTCATGTCTGCATGAAGTGACAGCACTAGAAACTTCAGGACCCCACTTAACTGACTCACACCTACATTCACTTGGTCACCAAGTCTGGTGGCCTTGGCTCCAGAACACACCACCCATTTGTCACCTTTCCCCTTGTTCCTCCCACCACCACCCAGGTTCCAGCCTTCACTTGTGGCTTAGCCAGGCTTGGCTGGCCTCCCCATCTCCAGCCTCTCTCGTGGCCGGCATGTCCCTCAGGCTCCTCAGGCCCCTTTCGTTCCCTCACTTGTGACTTCTCACCTTGAACAACCGTCAGGGGGTCCATCTGTTCTCGGACTCATCCTTGCTAGAGGATGTGCAGGCGTGCCCACAGCGTTCCAGCGCTTGCTCACCCAGCCCTGCACCTGAGGCCAAGGGCCCTGTGTACCTGGCAGTCTTGGGTTGGAAAAGACTTGGCACTTCCTGAGAGCTTCACCTCTGCTCTGTGCGTGTACACATGTATGTCCATCTGCCCCCACTAATCCTGGTTTCCATATCTTTATCCCCCACAGTGAGGGTTCCCTATTTCATTGACTTGAAAAAACCGCAGGATCAAGGTTTGAATCACACATGTAATTACTACCTCCAGCCAGAGGAAGACGTGACCATTGGAGTCTGGTGAGTGACCAGCGGCGTGGCCAGTGTTGTCCAAGATGATCGCCTGTCTGTTTTTATCCTCCCCCTTTCCGTTTCCAAAGCAGATATCTTGGCTAAATTTGATCCTAATGGAGCATGATGAGATGGCATCAGATCTGTTCTGAGGTTTTCAAACACCGAAGGCTTTGTGAACCAGGCTGTTTGTGGAAGAGAGCCTTATTTCCAGAGGGAAAAAAAGAGTATGAGCACAGAATCACGAGCACAGATTTGAGATACACTCTTTCTTCTCAGAGAAGGGAACTTGAAAACAGCTGGATTTCTTCCACGTGCAGTGCTTACAGCCACTGATAATGGTGGTGTTTGCTCTCTTCTTGTATTGACTTTTTTGAGCCAAAATTTAAATGGGACTTAAGCTCTGTGACTTCTTTCTGTCTTCTTGGAATATGTTTTCCTGCTTTTCCCTATGGATAAGTGGGTGTTTCTGAACAACTAAATTAAAATTGACCAACTTTTCTGTGGCACTTTCTTTCTTCTCTCTGAAGCAGCTTGGCATCACTGCCCCTTTATGTAGCTGGGTTTCTCTTTCAGCAGCCATGACATCCTCTCTGCCCTTGCAGAAAACTGCTGTGTACGTGAGATGCTTCTAAACAAAATGCTGTGGGTGGCTTCCCAGTGTGGGCTGTGAGGAAGTTCAGCCATATCTAATGGTCTTGGGTAGAGAACATAAAATGGGAAGGGAGATTATTGTTCTAGGAGTTAATGCTGGGACTAGGCTTTTGTTATTTCTGGTTTAATTTAATCTTATACTTACTGACCAGTGTGTGTGCATGGGACACTTTGCTCTTGTGTCCTCAGTCAGAAGGTTGATGTGTTTTGCTCAGAGCTATCTGTTAGGAATTGGTCAGCCCTCCTGCTGGTTAGTGTGGTCTGTGCTTTGAGACATGGACAGGGGTTTGTTAGTAGGGACCTCTTCCTTGGGTAGTGGTTAGGGCAGTCTATTGCAGGAGGGATGTTTGTGCTGCTGATACTTAGGCTGAAAGCTCCCACAGCAGTTACCCAAGAAGGTTGTCCTGAGTGACAGCAATGGCGAGACTCAAATTAGTGACGGCCAGGCTGTGTGCTGCTGGGCCCCGGCTGGCCTGCCCAGGTCTGTGCCCTGTACTGTCATGAGGATGCTGTGGGCCCTCGGGCAGCAGTAGGCCTTATTCTTAGCTGCCTGTTTGTGGGCACAAGCTCTCCCTCTGGCAGGGGGCAGGAGAGCCCTGGGAATAGGGTCCCTCTCCTCTGGGTGGGAGCTTCCCGGGCCTTTGTGAAGAGCACCAGGCTTGGGGTAAGCTGGCTCCTGGAAGTACAGCAGTGTCCAGGACTTTTAAAATGTGCCTTTTGGTCCCATGGGTTTATAATTGCCATAGAGTGATCATTATGGTCAGAATCAGAACCATCCAAAATGCTGTCCTCTGGAATGGGTCAAAGAAACGTTAGAAGTGAAATGCTAAGGGGCACCTGGGTGGCTCAGTTGGTAAGCGTCTGACTCTTGATTTCGGCTCAGGTCACGATCTCAGGGTTGTGAGATTGAGCCCCACGTCATGCCCCACACTGGGCCTGGAATCTGCTTAAGATTCTCTCTCTGCCCCTCCCTCCTCTGCCCTCTAAAAAGAAAATGAAGAAGTAAAATGCTGAAACTTAAGCAGAAAATTTAAAAATGGCCATTTAATATTTGTAAGCATTCTTGCTAATAAATGTGAATGTGTTTTACAGAAAAACCTATTCTTTCGGACTCTCTGCAGCAATTAACAGTATTTGATGTGGATTGACTTCAGATTAACTAGAGCATCTCCCTGAGGGAGAGTTCTGGCCAGAGAGACTGAGTGCACCTGCCCGGTCAAGTGTGGGATGAGCCGGGCTGACACCAGTCCATCCATGTAGCATGTTGGCTTGCAGCATCTCCTCCTACAGAGATGGGTCTGCTCCCAGATGCCTTTTAAGCAGGCTCTGGAATCTGCTGTACATTAGAAATGGTGCTTTAAGGATGTCCAGCTTCTAGTCCAGCTCATAAAGATCAGTGTCGCTGAATTACCACCTATGACAGCATGAACTATCTTAGGTCCGTTGTGAATTAAATTGTGTACAGCTTAGACTAGATAGTCCAAGATGGTGGAGGACTTAGTTTCATCTGGTCCCAGGAATTCAGCTAGATAGCTCTCAAATCATTCTGAACACCAGCGAACTCAACTGGAAATGTAAGAAAAGAATAGCTTCAACTCTACAAATAGAAAAGCGACCACTTTCTGCAAGAGTAAGAGGTGCGGAGAAGTGGATCCCAGGCAATATATGGGAAGATAAACCGCGGGGGGCGGGAGCCTCTATAAGCCGACTACTGGAAAGTGATAGAGCCGCGGAGCACAAAACCGGAAATTTTAGAAGTCTGCTCTGCTGAGTGATGTCCCTGCCTGAAAGATGCTCAGGTGGCGAAATCCTAGGTGGAACGGTGTGGTCTCAGGACCCTTGGGGTCACAGGAAGACCGGGGGTGCCTGAGTGCAGCAGAGCTCCCAGGTATCAGAGCGAGGAAGCCAGCTGCAATCAATGAACCCAGGAGTGGGCTCTCAGCTCGGGGTTGCCATATACCGTGAACTGTGGCATGGTTGGGTGACTGCTCTCCAAGCAGGTTCCCAGCAAGCGGCAGAGCCGTAGGGAGACCGCCTTTCTCCCGGGAGAGGAGAAGCACTGGTATGCACTGCAGGAATCTGCTGGGTTTGGAGACTCCAAACAGGGTCGTATGCCTGAGATAGAAACACTCGGTGACAGGCTAGGTGAGCACAGAATGTGAACTGAGACCCCGGAGACAGGAGTGATTGACTGCTTTTCCCTGAGGGTGCACTGAGGAGTGGGGCCCTGCCTCCCGGAGACTGGGAGGCTACCATTTTCATTTTCATTCTCATTCTCTAAAGCTGCGCAGAAAGCCTCAGGGAACAAAAGCCACAGCAAGCAAGCAATCTGGAGCAGATTACTTAGCCTGGCCCTCTGGCAAGGGCAGTGCAATTCTGCCGAGGGGCAAAGACACCTGAGAATCAGCACAACAGGCCCCTCCCCCCAGAAAACCAGCAAGAACATCCAGCTAAGACCCAAGTTTACCGATCACACAGAACTGCAAAACTCCAGTGCTAGTGGAAAATAGTATATAGAACATGATTTTTGTCCCATGATTCTTTAGTCTTTGAATTTTATTTTTTTCTCTTTCCTTTTCAACCAGTTTTTTATTTTATCAACTCTTCTTTTTAAATCTTTTTTAATTTTCATTTTTACAGTTACATTCTGTCCTTTCATTATATTTACTTTTATTTTTGAATATATATGTTTTTCTTTCTTTACAATTTTGAGATGCAGTTTTTGTTAAAGGCTTTTTAAATTTTCATCTTTATAGTTATGTTCTATCCTTTCATTCTATTTAATTTTATTTTTGTATGTATATAAGTTTTTCTTCCTTTACAGTTTTGGGATCTAGTTTTCTAATAAACAGACCAAAATACAGAATCCACTATATTGCTCTTTTCTGATCATGTCTGATTATAGTCTCTCTCTCTCTATTTTATTTTTTTTTTCAGTTTTGGGTCTTTTCTGATTTGTAGTGTATATTTCTCTGGGGTCGTTGTTGCCATTTTAGTATTTTGTTCTCTTGTCCATCTATTCTTCTCTTGACAGAATGACAAGACGAAAAACTCACCTCAAAAAAAAAGAACAAGAAGCAGTACTGACTGCCAGGGACCTAATCAGTATTAAGTAAGGTGTCGGAACTAGAGTTCAGAATGACGATTATAAAGATACTAGCTGGAGTTGAGAAAAGCAAAGAAGATTACAGAATCCCTTTCTGGAGAAATAAAAAAAATGAAATCTAACCAAGTTGAAATCAAAAAGGATATGAATGAGATGCAATAAAAAATGGAAGCTCTAATTGCTAGGATAAATGAGGTAGAAGAGAGAAATAGTGATATAGAAGACCAAATGAGAAAAAGAGAGATAAACAACTACTGGATCACGAGGGCATAATTCGAGAGATAAGTGATACCATAAGATGAAACAATATTAGAATAATTGAGATCCCAGAAGAAGAGGAAAGAGAGAGAGGGGCAGAAGGTATATTGGAGCAAATTATAGCAGAGAACTTCCCTAATGTGGGGAAGGAAATGGGCATCCAAGTCCAGGAGGCACAGAGAACACCCCTCAAAATCAATAAAAATAGGTCAACACCCCGACATATAATAGTGTAACTTGCAAATCTCAAAGACAAAGAGAGGGCGCCTGGGTGGCTCAGTTGTTGAGCGTCTGCCTTCAGCTCAGGTCATGATCCCGGGGTCCAGGGATCGAGACCCGCATCGGGCTCCCGGCTCAGTGGGAAGCCTGCTTCTCCCTCTCCCACTCCCCCTGCTTGTGTTCTCTCTCTCTGTCAAATAAATAAAATCTTAAAAAAAAAAAAAAAAGAAAATCCTGAGGGCAGCTCAGGACAAGAGGTCCATAACCTACAAGGGTAGAAACATTAGATTAGCAGCAGACCTATCCACAGAGACCTGGCAGGCCAGAAAGGACTGACATGATATATTCAGGGTGCTAAATGAGAAAAATAATGGAGCCAAGAATACTTTATCCAACTAGGCTGTCATTCAAAATAGAAATAGAGAAAAAGCTTCCAGGACAAACAAACAGAAACTGAAAGGATTTGTGATCACTAAACCAGCCCTGCAAGAAATATTAAAAGGGATTCTTGGGCACCTGGGAGGCTCAGTTGGTTAAGCAACTGCCTTCGGCTTAGGTCATGATCCCGGAGTCCTGGGATCGAGTCCCACATCAGGCTCCCGGCTCAGCGGGGAGCCTGCTTCTCCCTCTGACCCTCTCCCCTCTCATGCTGTTTCTCTGTCTCTCTCTTTCTCTCAAATAAATAAATAAAATCTTAAAAAAAAAAAAAGGGATTCTTTAAGTGAAGAGAGAGCCCAAAAGTAACCAGAAAGGAACAGAGACAATGTACAGAAACAGTGACTTTACAGGTAATAAAAAGGCCCTAAATTCATATCTTTCAATAGTTACTCTAAATGCCCAAATCAAAAGACATAGGGTATCAGACTGGATAAAAAAACAAGACCCATCGATATGCTGCCTGCAAGAGACTCGCTTTAGACCCAAAGACACCTCCAGATTGAAAGTGAGGGGGTGGAAAACCATTTATCATGCTAATGGACATCAAAAGAAAGCTGGGGTAGCAATCCTTATATCAGACAAATTAGATTTTAAGCCAAAGACTGTAATAAAAGATGAGGAAGCACACTATATCATCATTAAAGGTTCTATTCGACGAGAAGATCTAACAATTGTAAACATTTATACCCCTAACATGGGAGCAGCCAATTACATAAACCAGTTAATAATAAAATTAAACAACACGTCGATAATAATATAATAGTAAGGGACTTTATTATTTTTTTAAAAAGATTTTATTTATTTGACAGAGAGAGCACAAGGGTGGGGAGCAGGCTCCCTACTGAGCAAGGAGCCTGATGCAGGGCTTGATCCCAGGTCCCAGGTCCCTGGGATCATGACCTGAGCTGAAGGCAGATGCTAATTGACTGAGCTACCCAGGTGCCCCAATAGTAGGGGACACCCCACTCACTGCAATGGATAGATCATCTAAGTAGAAGATCAACAAGGAAACAAGGGCTTTGAATGACACACTGGACTGTACTTCATGGATATATTCAGAGCATTCATCCTAAAGCAAAAGAATACACATTCTTCTCAAGTGCACGTGGAACATTCTCCACAATAGATCACATACTGGGTCACAAATCAGGTCTCAACCAGTACCAGAAGATTGAGATTATTCCATGCATATCTTCGGACCATAATGCTTTGAACCTGGAACTAAATCACACGAGGAAATTTGAAAAAAAACTCACATACATGGAGTCTAAAGAGCATCCTACTAAGGAATGAATGGGTCAACCAGGAAACTAAAGAAGAATTTAAAAATTCATGGAAACTAATGAAACTTAAAACACAACTGTTCCAAACCTTTGGGATGCAGCAAAGGTGGTCCTAAGAGGGAAGTATATAGCAATACAAACCTTTCTCAAGAAACAAGATAGGTCTCAAATATACAACCTAACCATTACACCTAAAGGAGCTGGGGGAAAAAGCCCAGCAAATAAAGCCTAAATCCAATAGAAGGGAAATAATAAAGATTAGGCCAGAAATCAATGAAATAGAAACCAAAAGAACAGTAGAACAGATCAACAAAACTGGGAGCTGGTTCTTTGAAAGAATTTTAAGATTGATAAACCCCTGGCCAGACTTACCAAAAGAAAAGAGAAAGGACCCAAATAAATAAAATCATGAATGAAAGAAGAGAGATCACAACCAGTACCAAAGAAATATAAACAATTATAAGAACATATTATCAGCAAATATATGCCAGCAGATTAGGCAATCTGGAAGAAATGGATGCATTCCTAGAGACGTATAAACTACCAAAACCGAAACAGGAAGAAATAGAAAACCCAAACAGATCCATAACCAGCTAGGAAATTGAAGCAGTAAATAAAAATCTCCCAAGAAAACAAGAGTCCAGGGCCAGATGGTTTCCCAGGGGACTTCTGCCAAACATTTAAAGAATGAATACCTATTCTTCTGAAGATGTTTCAAAAAACATAAATGGAAGGAAAACTTCCAAACTCAAGAAGCCAGCATTTCCTTGATCCCAAAACCAGACAAAGACCCCACCAAAAAGGAGAATTACAGACCAATATCCCTGATGAACATGGATGCAGAAATTCTCACCAAGATACTAGCCAATAGAATCCAACAGTACAGTAAGAGGTTTATTCACCACGACCAAGTGGGATTTATTCCTCGGCTGCAAGGATAGTTCAGCATCCACAAATCAATCTGTGATAGACTACATAAGTCAAAGAAAGGCAAGAACCACATGATACTCTCAATTGATGCAGAGAACGCATTTGACAAAATACAGCATACTTTGTTGATTAAAGCTCTCCATAGTGTAGGGATAGAGGGTACATACCTCAATATCGTAAAAGCCATCTGTGTAAAGCACACAGTGAATATCATTCTCAATGAGGAAAAACTGAGAGCTTTTCCCCTAAGATCAGGAACACGACAGGGATGCCTACTCTCACCACTATTATTCAACATAGTACTAGAAGTCCTAGCAACAGCAATCAGACAACAAAAAGAAATGAAAGGCATCTGTGTAATCAGCAAAAGGAAGTTAAACTCTTTCTCTTCACAGATGACATGATACTTTATATGGAAAACCCAAAAGACTCCAGCCCAAAATTACTAGAACTCATACAGGAATTCAGTAAAGTGGCAGGATATAAAATCAATTCACAGAAATCAGTTGCATTTCTATATACTAACAATGAGACAGAAGAAAGAGAAATTAAGGAATTGATCCTATTTACAAAAGCACCAAAAACCATAAGATACCTAGGAATAAACCTAACCACACAGGTATAGGATATATACTCTAGAAACCACAGAACACTTAAGAAATTGAAGAAGACACAAAGAGATGGAAAAACATTCCATGCTCATGGATTGGAAGAATAAACATTGTGAAAATGTCTATGCTGCCCAGAGGAATCTACACATTCAGCGCAATCCTTATCAAAATACCATCGCCGTTTTTGCAGAGCTGGAACAAACAATCCTAAAATTTGTATGGAACGAGAAAAGACCCTGAATCACCAGGGGGATGTTGGAAGAAAACCAAAGCTGGGGGCATCACAATATCTGACTTCAAGCTGTATTACAAAGCTGTGATCATCAAGACAGCATGATACTGGCACAAAAACAGACACATAGATCAATGGAACAGAATAGAGAACCCAGAAATGGACCCTCAACTCTGTGGTCAAGTAATCTTCGACAAAGCAGGAAAGCATATCCAATGGAACAAAGACAGTCTCTTCCACAAATGGTGTTGGGAAAATTGGATAGCCACATGCAGGAGAATGAAACTGGACCTCTTTCTTACACCATACACAAAGATAAACATGAAATGGATGAAAGACCTAAATGTGAGACAGGAATCTATCAAAATCATAGAGGAGAACACAAGCAGCAACCTCTTTGACCTTGGCTACAGCAAATTCTTGCTAGTTATGTCTCCGATAGAAAAGGAAACAAAAGCAAAAATGAACTATTAAGACTTAGTCAAGATAAAAAGCTCTGCACAGCAAAGAAAATAGTGAACAAAACTAAAAGGCAACCTACATTGTGGGAGAAGATATTTGCAAATGACATATCAGATAAAAGGCTACTATCCAAGATACATAAAGAACTTATCATCATCACCCAAAAAAACAAATAATCTAGTCAGAAATGGGCAGGAGACATGAACAGACATTTCTTCAAAGAAGACCTACAAATGGCCAACAGACACATGAAGATATGCTTCACATCACTAGGCATCAAGGAAATACACATCAAAACCACAATGAGATACCACCTCACACCAGTCAGAATGGCTAAAAATTAACAAGACTGGAAACAACAAATGTTGGTGAGGGTCCAGAGAAAGGGGAACCCTCCTACATTGTTGGTGGGAATGCAAGCTGGTGCAGCCACTCTGGAGAACAGTAGGGAGGGGTCCTCAAGAAGTTGAAAGTAGAGCTACCCTATGACCCAGCAATTGTACTACTAGGTATTTATCCAAAGGATACAAACAGTGATTTGAAGGGGCACGTGCACCCCAATGTTCATAGCAGCAATGTCCACAAAAGCCAAACTATGAAAAGAGCCGAGATGCCCTTCAACAGATGAATGGATAAAGAAGATGTGGTCCATATATACAATGGAATATTACTCAGCCATCAGAAAGGATGAATACTTACCATTTACATGGACATGGATGACTGGAGGGTATTATGCTAAGCAAAATAAGTCAATAAGAGAGACAATTATATGATTTCACTCATATGTGGAATTTAGGAAACAAAACAGAAGATCATAGGGGAAGAGAGGAAAAAATAAAACAAGATGAAATAAGAGAGGGAGACAAATCATAAGAGACTTAATCATAGGAAACAAACTAAGGGTTGCTGGAGGGGAAGAAGGTAGGGGGATGGAGTAACTGGGTGATGGCGTTAAGGAGGGCACTTGATGTAATGTAAAAATAAGTAAAAAGTTGCAGCTTAAATATATGGGTGTGTATGAGGGGAAATAATGTTATTTAGCTAGTATGTATTAAGCACTCATTCTGTGCGAGGCCCAGGTGAAGGCCTGGTGAGCGAGCCGGACTAGATCTTACCTTACAGAGTGTACAGTTCACACGGCAGAAACTCCAGCCCCACCCCCAACCCCTGCCCACCTGCTACCAGAGGGAGCTTCTGTGGCCCCGAGGTGCCCAGGTATAAGTAGGAAATCTACCAAGGCTGTCAGAAGCCATCACTCTAGCTTGGAGTTCTGAGTTATTTCTTCTGGTCATGGGGGCAGTTTGCCTCCCCAGCCCCACCCATCCTGCTCTGTGCTCAGTTGTGACTCTGATCCTCTGTCGTTCTGTCAGTAGTCATCCTCATCTGATCATGCCACTCCACTCTACTTCTGTTTCCAGGCACACTGTCCCCGCTGTCTGGTGGAAGGATGCCCAAGGAAAGGACCAGATGTGGTATGAGGACACCTTGGCTTCCAGCCGCCCTATCATCCTGTACCTGCACGGGAATGCAGGCACAAGGTGAGGAAGAGGAGCCTGTGTAGCATGTCCTCCCTGCAATGCTGGCCCGATCGGGTCTACTGACCCCCTGCAGTGAGGGAGTGTACAGGCAGTGGGGCTGTGGGTCATCCCAAGAACACAGGAAAAGGCAGAGTTTATGGGATTTGGGGGAAAGGGGTCAGGGTGAAACTCCCATGAAGCAGTGTTCCCACAGGCTCAGAGCAGAGCTGTATGCAAGGTGGGCCCAGGTGCAGTTTCCTTGGGAAACCACCCCACCCCCCATGTTAAGCAGATGTGGGAAGCTGTGTCCAGACACCCCTTATCTGGGGCTCGCACCTGGGTGGAATGGAGGAGGCTGTGTCTCTGTCACAGTGACCCAGATCCTCGGCCAGAGTGGGGTGTTGCCTTCCTCCTGACGTCGTAATTTGAAGGGCAAAGTGAGGGCCAGTGACTTAGGGAATAAGGCTTCTCAGTGAGTAAGGTGTGGTGATTCCTCAGAGGGGTCGCTGTGACACTTCAGGACCGCAGCACCCCTGGGGAATGCTGTCTCCTGTTCACCAGCCTTGTGTGTCAGCCCCGTCTGAGGGTCGCAGGTAGGCATCCCCTTCTGGGGCGGAGGCACACTTCCTGGCAAGGGGCAGTGAGTGCTGAGAAGGAGTCAGGGTGACATCGAAGGAGGGCTGCTGAAAGCAGAGGGAGGCCAGAGGGACCCCAGCTGAGTGCACACAGATAAACTCATCCTCTCAGGCCGCCCCACCATGCTGTCAGGTTAGGTGATGGGTGTGAGTTCTCTCTCTCTCATCTGTAAGCCAGCAATGCCAGTGTGTCCTGCCGGGCTATTGCTGAGGCACTGTCTGTGACAGGCCAAGCCTTTGCTCAAGTTTATCCCAGATGCTTTTCAAGAGTGGCTTTGTGGGCGCCTGGGTAGCCCAGTCGGTCAAGCGTGTACCTTCAGCTCAGGTCATGATCCCAGGATCCTGGGATCGAGTCCCGCATCAAACTCCCTGCTCTGCGGGAAGTCTGCTTCTCCCTCTCCCTCTGCTGCTCACCCTGCTCATGCACTCGTGCTCCCTCTCTCTCTCAAATAAAGTCTTTTTTTTTTTTTTTAAAAAGAGTGGCTTTGATGGTATGTCCTTCAGATTCACTGGGAATTGGCTTTGTCTACCCACATGGTTGGCCTTGTTCAGAAGAATCTCTGGGAGAGCAGCGTGGGTGAAGGAGGAGGTACATTTTCCAAACAACATTGTCTGAGAAGCCCCAGGAGGGTCAGTGTTGTTGCAGATTCCTTAGGGCGCGTGAGTGAGCTGGCAGGAGCCGGCAGGAGGCAGGGCTACTACAGGGCCCGGGTAAGGGTCAGCGGGGTGCCGTGGCTGCCATGGTGTGCTGGGGGTATGTCATTCTGTAGGCAGAACCAACAAAGAGATCAATTAACAGGCCTTTGCGGGGGGTGGGGAGAGCAGCAAGCAGACCCTGGTGGTGTCGGGGCAGAGGGGCTCCACAGTGGACATTGCAGGAAGTCCAGGAAGTGTGGGCTGTGAGGATGCTGTGTGAGGCCGCAGAGCAGAGCGTTTAGCTGCTGAATCATGCATGCACTTGGTAGTTTGCTTTCTTCTTTGTCTGGGACTAGCTACAGTGGGTTTCTCTTCTGCTTTTCTTTTTTTTTTTTTTTAAGATTTTATTTATTTATTTGACAGAGAGAGACAAAGCGAGAGAGGGAACATAAGCAGGGGGAGTGGGGGAGGGAGAAGCAGGCTTCCCGCTGAGCAGGGAGCCCTATGTGGGACTTGATCCCAGGATTCTGGGATCATGACCTGAGCCGAAGGCAGACGCTTAACGACTGAGCCACCCAGGCGCCCTCTCTTCTGCTTTTCAAAGAGCAAGTGGTTATAACCACTCTGGTAGCATCATCCTAGAAATGAGAAAATTTTGTAGTTTACTGGGAATAAGGTTCAGTTAAGCAATGCCAGTCACATGGTGAAAAAGACAAAGTCTGCCTAAACTTTAGGTTTGAAGGAACACTGTGACTGAAAGTGTTGCTGCCCTCTCCCCTGTCCCCAGAGAGCCCCCCCGCCCCCAGCCTGGCAGGATTACAGCAGCCCTGGCTCCCCGAGAGCCAGTCCCCGGCTGCTGCTGTGCACTGTGTCACATGCTCAACCCCTCTTCTTTTTGCTCGAGGTAGGGAATTCAAACAACCTAGACAAGAGCCACCATGAATTTTTCCAAAGATAACTGAAAACATTTTTCAGTATTTCCTTCTGGTCCTGAAACTCATTCCGTTGTATTTCTGTGGCCGCATTGCATTGGTTTTCCTCCTTTGTCTCATCCCTGTCTCTCTCAGGGACACTCCCTGCCTGCCCCCCATCCCCCCCGCCCCAAACATACACACAGCAAAGTGGCCAGGATGCTCACTATAAAAGAGGAAAACTGCTAAAAAGTCTGGAGAGGGTGAGTTCACCCGCTGACATGCTCTCCTTCCTGAGGTGGCCCCGTCCCCACTTTGGTGTCTGTCCACAGTAATAGCCGACCAACAGCTGGACAAAGCATGAGAAGGGATAGGTAGGTAGTCCTCGGACAAAGAAGTATAGACACACGAAACAGTTTGGATGTATGAACGCCTGTTTAGTGTCTGTAATAAGAAGTGCCCACTCCACACTAATCTGTGGGTGCAGGGCTAGGAGATGGGCCAGGGCCCCTCTGAAGACGGCTGGACAGTAATTGTCAAGCTTATGATCACACACACCTTCCACCCAGCAGTTCAGTGTGTAGGAACGTATCCCACACGTGGAGCACACTTATGCAAAAGGACATCAGCACGAGCTGGCCATGGCAGTAAAACTTAGGTTCACAGCAGGTGGGAGAGGGCCAGAATGACTGCAAGATAAGGAAGTGTGAACCACCGCTAAAAAGAGTCTTGGAAGTTGGCTGTGAATTACTGAGTGAAAAGTGAGAGAAAGTAGAGTGCGTATGTCGTATAAAGAAGCGCCTTCACTTCTGCCTACTTGCTGGTCACCAGGGAGCTGAGGCAGGGGCTACGTGCTGGGCAGGAGTTGGGGGCTTGCTGTGTATCCTCTTGTGTCTTCTGCATTGTGTATTGTACCTATGTATTAGCTAGTCAAAAATAGAAGTAAGGCAATAATTAAGAAATATCCCCAAAATGCTAACACTATCCCTTGCTTGTCACGGTACTGCCAGAAACAAGCATGGAGCCACTATGATGCCCTGCAGAGGAGGTCACCTGTCCCCCAATGACCCTCCCTGTATGGACTTGGGGACCAAGTCACCAAGGACCCAGACACTCCAGTACTGACCCTGGGGCCGGCCTTTTTGAGAAGATGTGCTAACACCCATTCTTGTTTCCTTTTCCCTGATGCTCTAGAGGAGGTGACCACCGGGTGGAACTATACAAGGTAGGTGAAGATGGCACACAATGTATGACAGAGGGGTGTCCATAGGCTGTATGATGGGGCAGAGCTGTGTACACGGTGTGGTGATGGGAGAGCGGCACGCACACAGTGTAGAACATGCAGAGTGGCATTCACAAGGTGTTGATGGGCAGATTTGTGTACAGGGGGTATATGAAGAGCAGAGTCACATACGTAGTGTGTATGAGGGGAGAGTGGTATCCACATGGCATAGGAAGGAAAGCTCATCGCCCAAGTGTTGTTTCCCACCTGCTCTTCCCAGGAGGCATGTACAGAGGGGAGTGCCTCCAGTACTTGTGAGAGGGTTGATCAGCATTGGCCTTTCCAACACTGCCTTCTCCATGGAATACTTATATAAGAAGCATATAATAATATATATAATATAATAATATATAAGCATATATAATAAAAGCATATAGTGCCTCCTATAATGCTGCCTCCAGGGAGAGCTGCCGAAAGCAGAAGGAATGCACTTTGGGGATCATCTGCCAGATATTGGCAGTTATATTGAAGGCATTTGAAATTGTTGTTAAATGCTGTGTTTCTCTTGTAAAATGAATGGAGAGCACCCAGGGCCAGGGAGCCACACTCCTGCCAAGTTGCAGGGTCAGGAGCTCTGCCACACTGAAGTCTCACCTTAGAACCAGATTCCAGGCTGACCTGGTGGAGGGGCCAGTGGGTCTCCCAGCCAGGCGCTCAGAGCTGGAAATGTGTGGTTGCCTCCAGGGCCATCTCCCTCAGCCTCCCCTCACAGGGATGGACGCCTGCATTGGCTAACCTGGCAGAGACGGACAGAAGCAAATGCAAGGGAACATCTGCATCTTGTGGGAACCACTCTGTCCCTCATACACTGAGGACAGGCGCTGCTATGGGCCATGGAGTGTTTGTGCCTCGATTGAATTGGATCAAGTTGGGGAGGGGGTGCGCTTGCAGAGCTGTGGTCCCCAGTTGAGGTTCGCATCTGGAGCAGCTGTGGCCCTGGTGGGGGCAGACTCTGCGGGAGGCTCAGGGCTGGAGGGAAGCGGCTGCCACAGGCTGCACTGGGGCCGGCGAAGGAGAAAGGGGCACACCTCCCTCAGGTGATTTTGGGGGACGTTGGTGGCTGGCCGCTTCCACATGGCTCTGGGTGCACCCCAGGAAGGCTCAGGTGGGGGCTGTGAGTAATCATCTAGTCCAGGAGATCACGTCATCTAGAGGGATTTTGTTTTTAATAATGGAAAAATTCAGCGAAAGCTTACAGTCAGAAATGCTAGGTTGCAGTAAGGATCCCGGATGCAGTCTCTGACCGTAGAGCCCCTCCTCCTGGGTCTCTGGTCTCAGGGTGTCTGCCCTGGGGGGGCTACCTGTGAGCCTGTGGTCTGAATGTGGTCTCAGCCGCAGGAGAGCCGTTCTTTCCATGCCTCCGGGATATGGAAAGAACGGCTCTCCTGCGGCTGAGACGTGTGGGTTTTATAATGGGGAATGGGGAATAGTAGCGGCTGACATGTGGGTTTTATAATGGGGAATGGTCAGCATCATAACAGTCTATTAAGCTCCCACTGTGTGCAGGACACAAAGACTGACATCGGGCTGGGTTAGTAAGAGGCAAGCTGCCCTCAATCCAAGAGGTGTGGATTTGTTGCCCAGGTATTTATTTTTCACTTTCCAGGTGCTGAGTTCCCTTGGTTACCATGTGGTCACCTTTGACTACAGAGGTGAGTTCTTTTGCAAGTGCGAGTCTGGGCTGTCGCACCGCTCCTGTCAGAGTCTGCTGTGCAGGCGTCACCCTGGGAAGCCGAGGTGGTGCCCTGACCTGCAGCAATGGCGAGTGTGGAAGTAAGGGGGTGAGGGGACAGAGTCCTCCCGTGTGTGTCCTGCAGGCAGACGAGGGGCATCCCTCAACAACGTTTTAAATGTAGAAAATACTGTCTCTTTTCTTTACTGGACTCAGACTCCCCCAAAGCTGGTCGTCGGACACGTTTTGTGGGCAGAAGAGCTGGTCTTGTTAAAGTTCTGAAAGCAGGAAAAAGAACTGTTAAGAGAGAAGGAAGATTCTTTCTTCTCCTTGACCCTCAGTACTTTTTCTTTCTTGAGTGAATCAGAGGGCTTTGCCGCTGAATAGACAGAGAACCTGCAGTTATTGTAGGCTAAAAACAGTGCACCTTAATGAGCCAGGAAAATACTTTGTACTGACCGGGAGCTGCCCTGTGAGAAGCATGGGCCTCCTATAGTCTCAGCGGCAGAGGTCAGAAGTCAGAGGGCTGCTTGGCCTGCTTGGCCTGACCTATGAGGGGAGAGTAGTGGTGTCAATACCCTCAGACCGAGGGTACGGGCGTCGTGTTAGTTTCTTCTTGCTGCTGTAACAAATTGCCACAAACCTGATGTCTTCAAACAGCACAGACTTGCTATCTTGCAGTTCTGGAGGTCACAAGTCCAAAATCTTTAGCTGCTGGGTTAAAATCCAGGTGTTGGCAGGGCCAGGCCCTTCAGGAGGTGCTGTGGGAGAATCCAGTTCCCTGCCTTTTCCAGCTGCTCAAAGCTGTCCTTGTGCCTCAGCTCATGGCCTCTTGAGTCTGTTTTCTGACCCTGACTTTGGTCTTCCTCTCTCACTTGTCCAGTAGACCATTGTGATTACTTTGTACCCACGCTGGTAAGCCCGTAATCACCCATGTCATAGTCCACTGATCAGCGCCCTCATTTCCTTCTGCAGCCTCAGTCCCGCCCTGTGCTTGCCACATAATTTAACATATTTACAGTCTCCAGGGATGAGCACACAGACCTCTTGTGGGGAGGTGGGCGGTGGTCCTGCCTGCTGCAGGGATGGCTCTTTCACAGAAGACTATTTGCAAATTCTGGGTTGGGGAAAACTACAGATCAGGATCTAGAAAGTAGTTCACCCACTTATCCTTTTCTCCATGCTAAAAGGGTTTTCTGTTCCTGCAGGTTGCTAGAGACCTCAGGGTGATAGAAAGAGCGGCCTTCTTCCTTGTTTACCTCCTTGTGCTTCTACCAGGAAGTGAAATCCCTCGGTTCTCCTCAAGTCTCTGCATTTCTAAGCTCCACTTCTCCCAGTCTCTGTCTCTGTGTCCCTTCCTCCTATCCACACCCTGAACCTCTCAGGATGGCCTTGTCTCTCACATAGTCCCTTCCCTCATCTGGCATCTGGGACGCCCAAGGGAGGTGGTTTATTGTGCCCACTAATTGTGGGTTTTGCTTATGCAGCAGAACTGGCTCTTTCTAAGCCTTGTGGTGCTTTCAGATCATTTGATGATGACTCACTGCTGAGTTGCTAGAAATGACAGTGGCACTTACCCTTTCCAAGAGCCTGGGGGGAGGGCCCTGGGGGAGGATGCAGTCTGAGGCAGAGATGGTTAACTTTTCTCTGCTATTCTAACAGCCTCTTCTCTTTCTGGGTCAGAGTTGCCTTGAGCCTGGAATCTTGCCCCCACCCCCAGCTTGACTCCTCACATCTGTCTTTAGCTGGGCTACAGCTGGCCATGGAATCCAAACTGGGCTCAGGGACCTGCCCCCAGGAATGCTCCTATTCTGCAGGGGCTCCTGGGTAGGCTAGGGTGTCACTGGCCCTTCATCTTGGGCCAGCTACCAGCAAGCCCTAACGGTTGGGGAATTTGCTGTCCCATCTGCCCACAGGAGTCTGTGGGTCTGACTGCCCTGTCTGCACAGTTGTTCTTTGGGACTTAGATAAGGGTGTATGGATGGCTGTCTGGGTTCAGGGGTTGTAGCTGGCTGAGGAAGTAGGAGAAGTAGGAGCAGGCTTGTCCAGACACCCCTCGCATAGGGTTGTGAATGATGGTGGCAGAGACTTCTGTTGCCCAGGACAGGCCTAGGCTGCCTGTTGAGAAAGGAGAAGATGAGCCTGCCCCTCAAGAGGTTCCATGGGCTGGGTTTGACTTCCTCCTCTTGCTGCTTCTCCCCCGCCAGGTTGGGGTGACTCAGTAGGAACGCCATCGGAGCGAGGCATGACGTATGACGCACTTCATGTTTTTGACTGGATCAAAGCAAGAAGTGGAGACAACTCCGTGTATATTTGGGGTCATTCCCTAGGCACTGGGTGAGTTCACAGCATGGTGGATCCATGGGGAAGCAGGTCTTCATGGGGCGTTTCACCAGGTCCCTCCAAAAGTGCCCTCGTGGCTTCTGGATCCCATGACACCATGAGTCCCAACAAGCCTTGTCCCTCATTCCCATGGTGGGGGCAGGGGATGAAGTGCCACAAAAGACCATGAAGAGCTTGAGCTACTTTAACTCCTCAGCCGAAGAAGTGACCTAAGACACACACACAGGCAGCTGTGGGGTGGCCATGTCCCTCTGCAGGGAGGAGGGGCACATCTCATCTCAGTCCCAGGGTGTGCCTCAGGGAGATGTCCTCAGAGCAGGATGAGACTGGGCACTTGGGCTTTGCATTGCCTGGCTTTGGCGTGCAGGTGCTGGCTGGCAAGCCTGAGGGCTGGGCTTTGATCACATGCAGACTAGGGACGATTGTGAACAGCTTGGCCACTTAGTCTGTACTTGGCTTACCAGAGAACTTAGGGGAGGCAGCAGTGGGTGGTTCCCTTCTTACATCTGCCAAGATGGGGGAGGCAGTTTAATATTCCATTTGGGGCTGCCTGAATCGCTTCTGCTGATGGAAGGTTGAGAGTGTTTCTAAAAGGAGTGCTGCTGTCAGTGCCCGGAGTCCCGAGGCCTTCAGCAGCCATCTCTTTTCCAGCGGCCTTTCCTTTGGGTGCCGTGGCTGTGGCTTCTTCCTCCCCTTGCTGCTCGCCTTGGATGGCATGTGGCAGTTGGGATGGGGCCTGCCGGGAGAGTGAGCTGCGTGCCTACAACAGAGAGGGGCCCAGGCAGAGCGGGGAGCAGGCCATCCTGCCACAGCCATCTGCATGGGACCTGCCCAGTGTGGTCCTGGGACGGCAAGAGGCCCGGGGGCTGTCGTTGCCATCCTAGTCGGAGAGGGTGGCTGATGGCAGGGGCAGCAGGGCCCAGTCACGGTCCTGAGCATCTTTGTCCACACCCTTCCCCAGCCCCAAACCCCACCAGCCGCTTCACAGATCCCACAGCTTCTCTGGTCATTTACAAGACTAGAACACTCTCATCTCAGAAAACTTTGGTCGTCATTCACCTGAACTGTTTCTTCCTCCCTTTTCAGAGTGGCAACAAATCTGGTGCGGCGCCTCTGCGAGCGAGGTAGGAGCTTGTGTGGAGGTGTGAGTCCTGGTTGGGTGGGCATGGGCCCCTCCTGGTCCCAGGGCTCGGGCGGGGCATGCAGCATGTCTGTGCGCACACGCCATGCCCCAGGCTCCGCTGTGGGTTCCCGGGAGGTGGGCCCTGATGGACGAGCAGCACAGCAACAGGGCTTGGTGTCATCTCGGAGCCCTGTGGGCTGGGCCTGGAGGCCAAGGTCTGGGTAAACCCCCAGCAGACCCCAGCCTGTGTTCCCCACGGGTTCTCAAGCAGCTGGGAGAGCCTTATCAGGGCTGGGCTCCTGATACACAGCTTCAGTAAATGTGGTTCTTGGGAGCAAATCACAGCCACCTGAGAGTCCCCTGTGTGGGCCCTTCTTAGGTACCTACCGTGCAGAAGGGCCTGTGGGGCAAGGCTGGCTGGGGGGTGGGGGGAGCGGCTGGGGGGGTACCTGGGATCCACAGTCCAGTCTGGGGGACCAGTGTCTCCCACGGGCATCCGTGGGGGCTTCTTGTTCACCTCACAGCCCCCTGTTTATTTATCTAGAGACACCTCCAGATGCCCTTATATTGGAATCTCCATTCACTAATATACGTGAAGAAGCTAAGAGCCATCCGTTCTCAGTGGCAAGTACAGATCTTATTAAAAATTGACTTGTTTTTATTATTAAAATAATTACTATCAAGGTAACTCTTAAGAAAATATAAAATAAAAATTAATCCTTGTTTAGTGCAGGGCACTGGCCTGACCACAGAGCTGCCTGGGAATTTTAAAACTCTGCAGTCAGGCGGAAGGACGGGTTCACAGCTGGGTTGTCCAGGGACAGCAGGACCCCTGGGAGGCCTTGCGTCTGAGGTGTGGTTTGCTGACCTGGCATCCTTGCCCCGTGGGGCTCAGCCCAGGTGGGCAGCTGCTGTCTTGGCTGCTTCCGCAGACATGGACCCAGTGGGCATCCCTGCTCCCTGTCCGCATGGATGGTGCTCAGCAGCCAGGCTCTCCCAGTCGTATCTCCAGGTGACACCCCAGGTGAACCCTGGTGGGGATCCCAGGGTGACTGAGACCCTCCTCACCTGCCAGGATTGAGACCCTCCTTTTACAAGCTGGGCCCAGAGGGGGCTCCTCTGTGTCTTCTTCTGTCCCACTTCTTTTTGGCTGGCCACCCGTTCTGGGGGCCTGTGTTGGCCCCCCACCTGACCTCATGGTGCACTGTTGCAGACAGGAGGAGTCTTCTATAGTCTTACTTCTTTGATGTTGCTTTACCCAAGTCACATGGACCCCTGTTTTTCCAGGGGTGGAAGCCCTTGCATCTGTGGGAAGTACGGTCTCTGAGCCGGTCCTGCCCGGCTGCTGCTGGGAGCTGTGGGAGCCCATTTTGTGGGCAGCCACGCGTGGCCAGTTCGGAAGCCTCTTAAGCACAGAGTCTGGGGCAGCGGGGCGCCCCAGCACAGCTCTGGTGGGGCCTCAGGTCGGTCCACTTGGAAGCTGGGGAGACTCTTGGGCACTCAGCACCCTCTGTCTGAACCCTCGACCTCAGCCTTCTCTGTGGCTGTTTTAATTGATGCTTCTGCACGTTGTTTCCATGTCGCTTTCAGATATATCGATACTTTCCTGGGTTTGACTGGTTCTTCCTTGACCCCATTACAAGCAGTGGAATTAAATTTGCAAATGATGAAAAGTGAGTACTCTGCTTACCTCATTTTTCTTTTTTTTTTACTATATTTTTTTAAAGTTTTTTTTTAAAATTTTATTTATTTGACAGAGAGAGACACAGCAAGAGAGGGAACACAAGCAGGGGGAGAGGGAGAGGGAGAAGCAGGCCTCCTGCCGAGCAGGGAGCCCGATGTGGGGCTCGATCCCAGAACCCTGGGATCATGACCTGGGCCAAAGGCAAGATGCCCAACAACTGAGCCACCGAGGCTCCCCAGTACCTCATTTTTCAATTTAAAAAAATCACTGAGAATCCCCAGGACTAGTCACCTTAACCAAAAAGGATGGAATTCTGCATACTGGGGTTCTTCTCTAACCATCAGACCTTCGTAAAGGGCAAGTCAGGCCGAGAGCTGCAGCCGAGAGAGAAGGGATTGGAAAAGGCCGTGGTGGCATGAAAGCAACAGGAAGACAACATGTCCCTGTGGTTGTTTTATTTGAAACTTGTCCATCAGAATCAGAATTCCTGACAGGTTCTAGAGCAATAAGGGGACTATTACTCAAACAATGACACCGCCTCAGCCGTTTGATTTCTGTTCGGTTGTAGAAAGATGTTACAAAGTTCACTATTAAAAATATTTCTAGGGACACCTGGTTGGCTCAGGCAGTTAAGTGGCTGCCTTCGGCTCAGGTCATGATCTTGGGGTCCTGGGATCGAGCCCCGTATCAGGCTCGCTGCTCAGCAGGGGAATCTGCTTCTCCCTCTGCTTGCTTGTGCTCTGGCTCACTCTCTCTCTGACAAATAAATAAAATCTTAAAATATATTTCTATTGGGGTGCCTGGGTGGCTCAGTCAGGTGAGCGACCAACTCTTGGTTTCGGCTCAGGTCTTGATCTCAGGGTCATGGGATCTGTGGGGAGTGTGCTTGAAGATTCTCTCCCTGTGCCTCTCTCCCCCCAAAATAAATAAATCTTAAAGTAAATATTCAGTTAATATTTAAAAATCTACACTCTGGAATAAATGTGAAAAAATGGAATATTTTTCCCTTTATTTGTTTTGGTTCTAAAAATTGAACAAACTAAAACTGAACAGACATAAGCAAAAAACCTGATTGTTTATAAATATTGTTTTGGAACTTCAAGAATTATCTGAAGAAACTGGGTTCCAACAGCAAGCACACAGTGAGTGTTGAGGCCCCCAAAGCCGCCTTTTGGCCCTGCTCCCGGCGGAATATTGAGGGGATGGCAGTATTTCACCCATAGGAAGTCACCAGGCCCCACTTGGGTAGCTCTAAGATGACAGCATGTGAACCAGGCCTTTTCTAGAGTGGGCAGGGTTAGGACAGACCACTTACAGTGGAAATCCTGAAAAGATGGGCTGTTCCGCTGTCAAAGTGTGACCCTCGCAGCAGAAGTGCTCCCCGCTAGAAGCAGAAGGCAGGGAGAGAGTGCATGTGTGTGCTGCAAGCAGAAGCACAGGTCGCCGGACGGGCTGGGTCCGTGGGGTGGCGAGCCTCCTGGCCCAGGTCCTGCCCGGTGCCGGGCTTGCTTAGGGAGGGCAGGCCAGACACTCTAGGGCCTGTCCAGTCCCACAGCCCATCCGTGGTTTGCTGGTGGGTTTGGATCATGTGAACCTATTGAAAATGTCGACTTATTTGTAAACGTTCAGGGTGACCTTAAATGTCATTTTCAATGAAGACAGGTTAGAGGGTGTGGGCTTTTTTACCAACACATTTCTAGTGACCTTCATTTGCAATTAATTTCTTGGGCCACCTCTGTTATTGGGTTTGTAAATATCATTCTGTAACTTTTAAAGAATAGGTCTAGTGGCAAAAATAATCATTTTCAATTTCCAAAAAACACGCAGGGGCCTGATTTGGTGAATGAATCGATCTCTAGACTTGACTGAATGGTGGTAGAAACATCTGAGGAATCTGCTTATAGTTCTCTAGTGAAAAGCCAGTTGAGTTCTAGCTGTTGAGCACCATGATGAAGCCCCCACTAAACCCAGGTGGGCCCAGAGACCCCAGACCTCTCCCCGGGGCCTTGGTCCAGTTCCATCTCCTCCCTCAGTGTGAAGCACATCTCCTGCTCGCTGCTCATCCTGCACGCTGAGGACGACCCGGTCGTGCCCTTCCAGCTTGGCCGAAAGGTGAGAGCCAGGTGCCAGCCCTAGGGCGGGTAGGCATCTAGCCGGCTCCCGTTCAGGCCGGGCCGGGCATCCGCGGGTGTGGAGGGGTGCTGCTGCTGCCAGGTGCCCCTTGTGAAGAAGAGAAGCATGGGGGAGGTCAGCAGCAGGGTCGGGGTGGGGGCCAACAGGTGATGTCTTATCAGCAAAGGTAAGTTAGAGGGTGTGGGCTTCTTCACCAGTACATTCGATGGCAAGAGGAAACATGAGAAATAAGCAGATGGCTCCCGGTCCCTGTGCAGGGGTCCTGGCCTGACAGAGACTTGACTACCAGGTACGGAGCCAGGCTGGAGGGAAAGAACCCTTGAGGAAGAGGATCCTCCACCCCCATTCGGGGGCCCCAGTCGGCAGAGTTGATACAGAACCTCTTGTCTGTTCTCTTGCCTTTGGGATGGGACTGATGTCAGGAATACCATGCTGTTGTGGGGCCTCTGTGTTTGCTTTTGCTGAGTTTGCTTTGCCTTTGCTGCCAGGAAGCAGCATTTGGTTTGTGGGTGAGTGTTGTGGGAGATAGCACCATCTGGCGTGGCGACGGTGAGGAGCAGGGTCAGCCTGGAGGGAGTGAGGCCCGGGTGCCAGTGGGTTCCAGCAGGACCAAGTCCCCTCCCTCCAGTGAGTCCGGGCACAGGGGACTGCCCAGCAACCACCGCTCAGACCTGCAGAGCCCGGCCATCTCTGGGGTGGGAGGAAGGGACTGAGGAAGGACAGATCGTGACCCTGGCACATGGCGAAGTCTGAGGCAGACGGCCCAACCCTGGGATGAGCCCTCTGGGCTGCTCTAGCACGCAGGCCTCCACACCACTGCATGGCAGGCAGCTCTGCCCACGAGGCTGGCTCGTCCGCCTTGCCGCGCCCTGAGGAGGCGCCGCCTGGGAGAGGCGTTAGGACAGAGGGTCTCGAGCATCAGGCCTGTCCGTACGCGTGCCCCCCACCGTGGCCCTGCAGGCTGCGGGCAGCAGTGTTGTTGGCGGGGGCTTGGGTTGCTCTTCAGAGGCAGCAGCCGCTGACCGGTCTCTGCAGCAGGGAGACCACCAGGCAGGGCTGCCATCTGTGGTGCCGACCTGTCTCTCCCTCGTCCCAGCTCTACAACATCGCTGCTCCATCCCGAAGCTTCCGAGACTTCAAAGTTCAGTTTATCCCCTTTCACTCAGACCTCGGCTACAGGCACAAGTATATCTACAAGAGCCCTGAGCTTCCACGGATACTGAGGTGAGGCTTCTCCCCTCTCCACAGACTCGCCCTGGCCAGGCACGCGGCCCCCCCCAATCTGCCTCGGTGGGGCCAGGAGTCACTGGGACTCGGGAGCCTTCCGTCTCCATGGAGAGGGGTTGCGTGTTTATGGCCCCTCTCTCCTGAAGCACTCCCGTGATCACACAGGGCAGTGACTTCCCTGTGGTGTGGGCTGTGCAGGCTGCGTAGACACGCCACTCAGGAGCATCCAGCGTGCAGACACGCACCCCAGCTGCTGTGGGTCAGGTCCTGCCCCTGTGCATAGGCACACGGGAGACTCCGGGCCAGCTCTCAAAAGCCGGTTTGTCCTCAGCTGCTCCGTGAAAAGAGGCTGTGCTCCCAGCTCTGCTACAGTTGTCATGGTCTGGGGCCAGGACAGCGGCTGGGTCCATGGCCCACATCCCGGGCCCAGGTGCAGAGCCCAAGCATGGAGGGTGAGATGGTGGCAAAGGGCAGTTTGAACTGGATGAGGCCTAGCCCTGCCTCGGGAGCCTGGGCTTTTGTGCAGGGACCAATTCCAACACTTAGGTGCTGCCCGGCCTCCTTGCTTCCCATCCCAGGCACAGGCAGCCCGCCACTTCTTGGCCATGTGGCCTGCAGGATGCTGAGGTGGGGATGGTGCAAGTTCGTCTTCCCAGGGCTGCTGAGCCTGGAGGAGTTGGAATGGGCCCTCAGTGCATTTTATGCTGTCACACTTCAGCTCTCCTGTGGCTGCCTCAGCAGTTCCAGAGGGAAAGCTGCATTTCTTTAGTGGTTTGCCATTTCCTACATCAAGGACCCGGGTTGCTGAGAGGGGACTGTGAGCTCAAAGAGTATGGGTTTGCTCTAGGGTTGTGATTTTTCCAGCATAAAGGAATGTCATAGAAAATATAGCCCAGAGTACAGCTGTAGAGTTTAGAACAAAGAATAGTAGCCCATTGCTTGGTCTTTCTTCCTATGGGGTTGGGATTTAACCCTGCTTATTTAACTCAGGCTTTCTGAGCAGGGGTGGTCCTCCAGGCTCCTTCTCAGCCTCCTGGGATGGGCTGTTTGAGGACGGAGGAGGCAAGACCTCGAGCGTATGCTCAGGGTTTGGCTGATGGCTGTGCTCGTCTCGTCTAGGGAATTCCTGGGGAAGTCAGAACCCGGGCGCCAGCACTGAGTCTTGCTGCCTGAAGGAGCATGAAGACCTCTGCCCTCCTCCCCTTTGCTCCGGCCAGCCTGGCACCCTGGGGCCCAGGGCTGCCAGTGTCTTCAGTGCCCCCGGAGAGAGGACTCGGATGTCAGCTGGGGCAGGCGGAGGAGGCCCGGCAGACCTGAGGCACCTGCCTTGGGTGGCTGGGAGGTTGGATCTTTGTGGAAAACACAGGTTGCAGGCATGGGATCCCCTCTCCGTTTTGTTGCCACTCAACCCGAGCTCTTATTGGGAAGACAGTGACAGAGCAGGCCAGCTGCCGGCTGGTCAATCCCACACTTGCTGAGCTGGGCAGGGGGAGCCCAGGGCAGGAGGCGTGGGGTCTCGGGACCACACTGAGCTTTCCAGTACCACCAGTGAGATTGTGGCCAGATGAGTTCTTCTGTCCCTTCCGGGCACATGCAGAATGGACTGGAATGGTTCCGTCAGCCCCTCGCACCCGGAGCACCCTGCTTGCCTACCTTGGCGGTTCCTGTCTCCCCGGGCAGGCCCCCACTGCTCACAGCGGGGGAGGTGCCTGTGACCTGCACTTCCTCCACTTTCTGCCCACTTGTCCGCCTAACCTGGCCTTAGACTGAGCATTTATTTAAGAATAAAATCGTGGTGGTGGTCTATCTGCTGTGTTCTCAGTGACACCTCCAGCTGCCCCCAGGCCATGCTCAGAGCCCAGCCTGTGGGAGGAGGGCCAGCTCTGTAAGGCCAAGGATCCTGGGCCTTCCTTTCCTCCTCCTTTCCAGATGTGGAGGCCCGTGCAAGGAGGGGTGTCGTTCCAGGACAAGGTGTGTTCAAGGGGGGGACCACTTCTCCAGATGGGACAGAGGGCGTGTTCTTAAATACAGGCCCCCTTCAACATCACGCTGTAGCAAGCTTGCTGGATGTTGGTATCGGTCGGCAGGCTCTGGGGTTTTACCCATAGACCCCAAATGAGCCCCTGGCATGAGTTCATGGAAAGACATGGGGCACTAGAGTGTGGGGTCTCTAGTTCTAGCCCACGAGCACCACCTCGTTCACTCACTGGGGGGGGGGGGGGGGGGGCTCTTGTGTTTTTCAGCTTTTTGTCAAATCAGTCTCCCCTGCACTTCTTCTGCCCCCCCTTCCCTGCACTTCTGCTGCCCCCACTTGGCACCTCTAAAGATCCTGCTTCTCATCGGCCCCAGTGCTGAAGGGCCAGATTCTTGGATGCCAGCTAAGTAACCCGAGAGAGAGAAGGTGCATGGTTCAATAAGAAAGGGGGTTTCAAGCTGCCCCCCCCCCCAGAGGACTGTCCACCCCCTGCAGCACAGGTACAGAGGCGTGACACACAACAGAGGATGCAAGCCCACCTGGGACCCACTTCTCCTGATGGCTGGACTTCTCCCAAGTCCTGTCTTGGCAGCTCAGAAATTCCCCGGGGTGTACAGAGGGCTTCATTCGCCGGCCTGCCTGTTCTTCAAGGTCTGTGGTCTCTAGTAGCAGCTGTGGGCAGGCTGGGGGGCCCAGATGCCAAGGCAGGGGACACCTCATTTTTGAGGCATCTTCAACTTGCCTACAGTGATTCTCACATCGGGGAAACCATGCCTTTCTTAAATGGGTTGAAATGTGAACCAACTCTCCTGAGGTCAGTTTGTCATCCTGTTTCATGTATGTGAGCCGCCACAGGTCCTTATGGGGGGGGGGGGGGGGAGATAAGACAGGAAGTAAGTAAAATACAGGCTGTTGGTATTTTGATAGGTGTCTTGACAGGCAGACTGAAGCAGACTGAAGAGGAGAAAGCACCGAAGGGGCTGGTGAGCTGCTGGGCCATCAGGTTGGCTAATCAGGTCCAGATGCCCCCACCTGCTGGCCTCTTAGATTATTAACTAAGCTTAAACTGTGGGCTAGGACAGACCTCTGCTGATTGCAAAACCAGTCCTTGGGGGGGGAAAAAAAACAGATCAAGACATGCACAGCTATAAATTCTGCAGTTACTATGTGTTTCCTGGAAGCACGGGTGTCCTGAGAGCTGCTCAGCGCCCTCCCCCGGCCCCCGGCCCCCACCCAAGACCAGCAGGGCCCATGGTGCTCCGGTGTCCTACAGGTCTCAGCTTGTTCGGGTAACAGCCCCAAGTTCATGTCCCTCCTGGCTTTCGATTCAGCCTGCAGCGACACAATTTAGGGGGCGATGCTCTGGTCCCCAGGGCATTCCATGTCCAAGGGCCAGGAGTGGCTGGCCTAGGACAGGTGCAGTGTGCACCAACAATGCCGACACCCAGATGACAGTTTATACAACAGTTGTGTTGATTCTTTTACGAGCTAGTGGTTCAAACACACATACCCTAAGTCCCACTTACAGCTGGGATGGGAAAGCTTGGTCTGTCCTTAATCCCAGAGTGATGGGCCCTTATGAGAGAGAGTCTGAGGCCTGCCCCTGGGACCCAGCCCGCACCCTGCCCTCGGCACAGAATGAAACATAGGCCAGCTCAACCAAGCACAGGCAGGAAGGTTTAATCGGTTTCTCACACAAGGCAGTAACAGCAAGTGGCACAGTGATGGTCACACACAGCCTAAGAAATGGGGTAGCGGAAGGTGGCGGGGGTATGACCACAGCCCCAGAACGTGGGCCTCCCCAGCAGACCTCCACAGCTCTGGTGAAGTGCGCACGTGAGCAAATCCTCCATGGCCTGATTCTATGAGCCATCAGGACCTGGGGTGAGGGCAGAGCCCTGTGCCATCCAGATCCAGCATGCAAGGAGGCAGAGCCCCTGGAAGGGTGCTGTCCCCCGTGTCTCCATTAAATCCGTGGTGAAGCGCACCAGCCTGCTCCCTGGCTCTCTCAGCTGAGAGAGGCTCACCCACCCTTCCCGCCACCAGCCTGCCATCCAGGCAGAGTGGAAAGTGGGCCCCCTTCTGGGCCTGCTCAGTTCTTTCCAAGGCGGTCACACTGGTGGAAATGGAGGGAGAAGGGAGGCTGGCCCCAGGACACAGCAGGGGCACTCAGCCTCTCCAGCAAAGGCAGCGCCCCACCCTGGGCTCCCGAGGGCTCGGCAACGCATCCCAGCATTGCCCCCCCAGCACAAAACTTCAAAAGTACAATTTTTAGTTGCTAAAACAAGAAAAGGCTTCAGCTACGTTCATTTCCCTGGGAAGCTGATATCCTCTTGAAAAAGCAAAACCAAGCTAACTGCATCAGTCAGCCTTGTCCTAGCCAAGGACCCCTAGATGCCGGGCACAGGTGTCCTCCCCATGTCCCCCTCAGTCATCCTAGGGCCCCTTTATCTGATCAGTCTGGAAACCCTGGGCCAGAGCACCCACGCAGCAGCTGCAGACTTGGCCGGAGTACTAGCATGGCCAGGAGGCCGGGAGCCCACACAGCAGGCTAGCACGTGTGGTGCAGAAAACAGTTCCCCAGGCTTTGTCACAGCTACCTGCCCAGACCCCAGAATCCAGAGGCTCAAAACTAAAAACAAGCTCACTGCAAGGTGCGTGCAAGGTCTCAGAGGAGCCCAGCCAGTGGCTCCACCTTCCCCACTTCCTTGGGGCAGGTGAGCTAAAGCTGCGGGGCCAGCTGCCCTGCACAGGGCTGCGAGCTCTGCTTTCCTGCAGGAAACTGGGGAGCATCTCCCTTTTTGAGCCTTTCCTTCCTTGCCCACCCCAAGCCACCAGCACAATCCCCATGGCCCTCCAGAAACAGCAGACCATTGCCAGGACGCCTAATCCCTGGGGAGGTTGGGGGGTGGGATCTGCAGGTCGGAGGGCTCCACGCCCCAGATGTCCCGGGCGTACTCTGTGATGGTCCGGTCACTGGAGAACTTGCCCGAGCAGGCGATGTTCCTGATGACCTTCTTGGTCCACTCCCTGGGGTTCTGCAGAGGGAAGAAGAGGCTGAGTAATCTCAGGTACCACACAAGACAGCTTGCACTTCCAGAACTTCAGGACTGTTCCCAGATGGGCTCTCAGCCTCTGGGCCAGCCTGACAACCAAAGACAAAATTGCAATCAACAGCTCAGTGAAACGGGGGCCCTCACCGACCAGAAAAGCTACCAAATGACTAGATACAGGGGCAAGAAGCCTGAGAAGACCCTGGGCCTCAAAATGTGCCACACACTCTGGGGCACAGCCCACCTTACAAAGAAACACCACCAGGTTGAGTACTCACCAAGTGGATCCAGGGAAAATGGCCAAGTGGTCCCCCGTCCATGGCTTCCCCCAGAGCTTTGCAACTACCCCCAGACTAAGCCAGCATCAAGAGGAACCTCCCCGACGGGTGCCTAGGTGGCTCACTTGGTTAAGCGACTGCCTTCGGCTCAGGTCATGATCCTGGAGTCCCGGGATCGAGTCCCGCATTGGGCTCCCTGCTCAGCAGGGAGTCTGCTTATCTCTCTGAACCTCCCTCCTCTCATGCTCTTTCTCTCTCTCAAATTAAAAAAAAAAAATCTTTAAAATAAAAAAAAAAAGAGGAGCCTCCCCGAAAGGGCAGACTCTGCTGAGGCCCACGTCAGGGGAGCAAAGGTGCCCCCCAGAGCCCTGCCTGGTCACTTAGTGCCCCAGACCCCCCTGTTCTTTCACGGGTCCTCCAAGGGCAGACAGCTTCCCTAAAGGTGGGGGATGGGAGCCAGGACCACAACACATCAGAAACACAGGTCCCGCAGGCCTCATCCAAGAACCTGGGGAAGAATCCACCTGACCCGCCACTGCAGACTCACACCCACAGCCAGAGTCCTCTCCCACTGCCACCCCCGGTGAGTCTGGAGAACCCCAGCAAGGGGAGGGAAGTGGGTACCAAGGGACACCCTCCTGCATCCCCTCAAGCTCAGGCCCTGGGTCTTCCTACGAGGCCCCACATGCCCACTCCCTCAGGGACACATGCTCCACCCAGAAACTGGGATCTGGGATCTCCTCTTGTCCACCTTCACCAAGGAGTGGGGAGCTGGCTACAGTGGTCTAGCCCTAGAAAGGCTAGTCCCTACAGCTATGGGTCCCTCACTCTACTTAACATGGAAGCTTGCACCTTTCCAAGGAAGTACTCTCATTCACACTTTTAAACACAGGCTTTCTGTGTGCACACACAAGTCTTCCTAGCTCTGCACCCGCTCCCCACACCCTCCCGATCACACCCGCTTCGGGGCTCAGATCACGGGGGGAGGGGGGGCATAGCCCGTCACCTCTGCCATTTGCAGAAAGGAAACTCCTGTCCTGCTCAGAGGCTGTGTGGAAACGTGCCAGTGTGGAGAGCGGCCTGGGCCCAAGGGGTCACAAGGCACCAGCTTCACCACGGGACAGCAGAAGGACAACAGAGACCGTCTGAGTGGAAGATGATTAAGAAGCCCTGGACAGCCCACGCCCATGACACAACTTAGCCCACCGAGCCCCCAGCCATCCTGCCCAGGGCCACAAGGTGAACAGTGACCTCCCAGGACTGGACCTCATAGATGTCCCCTGCTGCTCCCCTGCCAGGGCCACCCCCGGGCCCTAGAACCATACCCGGTACAGCTGGTCCACCTGGGCCTGGCATGCCACGTATGCTTCATAATCTGCAAACACCTTGAACCTGAAACGGGAGACAGGGGCTAGGCCACTGTGGCAGGTGGTGAGTCAGAGGTCACTAGGCCCTGGCCATCCAGGTCCTCATGCTTTGGGATGACGGGAGTCTACCTGGCCACAGAGGTGGCTCTAGGAGCAGTACTTCTGTCCCGGGGATACTATTGTACAAAAACCTTGTTTTCAGCCGTTTCTTTCAAGAAGTGGTTGTTTACAACACACCCTCCCCATGCAGGGGGCCCCGAGCGGCACAGGCTGAGGGGCTTCCTGCCAGAGAAGGGGCACAGGCTGACAGCGAGGCTCTGCCTGGCCATCTCTTCCTGGAGCCCAACTGGGCGAGAACTGGAGATCTAGGGGAAGGATGCTGTGGACAACACTGTAGGATTTATGAACAGGGAGCTGCATTTCTGTTCATGGCTGAGGCACAGAGACCATTCATGAAACCGTGAACAATGTTTCCTTGATCCCAGTCTGAGCCAGGGCCAAGCTCCCGCCCTGTGCTGTGTGGAGCCTCGATCTGGTCTGACGCCGGCCCCCAGCACCCACCGGCGAGCAACAGATGAAAGCAACCCAATGGCAGCTCAGAGCGGGACAGAGATCAGTTCTCAGCACTGACCAGATTCAGCTCTTACCAACAGGGCGGAGCAAAGAACTGTCCCGAAAAGACAAGTGGCGGTGCTCACCTGCTGTAAATTAGTGCTTCTGGAAACATGGATGTTATTCCGTGTCGATGCGTTGTAATAAAACATTAACTACAACGTAATTTGTGTCTCAAATTAATTCCACTTGAACCACTTGGTGTCACCATTGGCCAACATTTGCCTCAGTTGGGACTGTGGGACTTTGGCTGTGGAGGCACAGTGCCCCCACCCTGCCCCGCCTCCCAGAGGTTTCTGGGGCATCCTGCCCACACTCCCATTCTCCCTGGGGAAGAGAGGATCAGGAATCGCCTCCGACCAGCCCCATATGAAACCACCTTCTGCCTGTCAAGCCCTTCGGGGGGGTCAGCCAGTGCTGGGGGGGGCCTGGGGCTGGACCATGGAGCCAGCAACCCCTACCACAGGGCCCTCCAGCAGGCAAGCACCTCCAGAGGCCCCTGCAGGCCCTGGTTGACAGCCCGAGGCTCTGCCCATGGGCTGGGGTAGGGGGCAAGTCTCATCATGGCCCAGGGTCACCCCTAAAGTGTAGTCTTCGGCCCACCAGGCGGACCCATGTGTCTGACTGGCTGGTGGGGAGGGACATGAGAACGAACCTGTCGTGGTTCAGCAGCATGTTGACCATGTCCCTGAAGCAGTCTGGATCCTTGGGAGAGAAGAAGCCGCTGCTGATCTGGTCCACGGCCTGCTTCAGCTCGGGCAGGCGGTCATAGTATTCTCTGGCATTGTATCTGTGGGGAGG